AATTCTTAATGAAATCAATTGTAACGTTTGTTACTAAATTGTATTCCCTTATTCTTAGGTTTTAGTATCAATACAGTCGCTTATTCTTGTATCTGAACCTTATTTTAACGAGCCTGGGTATGAAAGATCAAGAGGTACATCGAATGGGGCTCAATCTAGTCAAGAGTATAATGCGAATATTTGCCAAGCTACAGCTAAATGGGCAATGCTCGATCAAATTCGCAATCCAAGCCCTTGCTTCAAAGAGGTACAAATTTATTATATTATCCTATATTTCGCGCGCGTATGTTTATTTTTTTTTATTTTTTTTTTTTTATTAAAATATAAATAATATTATATTGAAATGATTTTGAATCTAATAATATTATTAATTCTCTTATTAATATATCAAAGGTTATACACACTCATTTTTGGATAAAAAGACACGAAATCGTGGCTCAATTAGAAGGTTGGATAAGGGATATGGAATTACGTGGATCGGATCGTCGATTTGGTCCTGCTATTTCCTTAAATGCTTTGGCCTTGAGGGTAAGTTATATATATTTAGTATATATTGATTCTTTGTAATTGAAATGTTTTCCATGACTATAACACAAATTAATATAAAATGTAACAAACAAAATATTAAGCTCTAAAGAAAAATTAACAATAAATGAAAAATACATTATAGAATATTAAAAAATATTTGTTTATTTGTTAACAGAGGCATTATAGGTTATTAAGAGAAGAGTTGAACAAACTGCCAACACCCGAAGGTTTAGAAGATTTGATCGAACCGCTTCCATCTCCGGGCTCACCTATTGAATTATCTGGGACTCCGGGTACACCCAGTACACCACCTTCGTCAGTAGGTCCTGCTACCACACTGACTACATCAATAAGTAATTCTACTATCGTCCCCATTAGCAACACCAGTGCCAGCAACCATGTACATCATGATATCGATACGGATGTTGAAATGGAGAAGATGGTTTCAAAAGTGTGTGAATAGCTAAAGGATGTTAATAGACATTGTTGGACATTTTGAAAAGTCTATTGTTTGTGTTATGGTGAAACAAATAACTTGACTGATCGAAATTGCGAAGATGTCTTGCTAAGTGAATTTGATTACTGGCAAATTCATTGACACTCGACAGTGATTTTACTTTGAGAGGTAATAAATAAATATCTTTTTGCGATTGTGAAAAGATGACAATGGCTAAAAAGAAAGAAAGAAAGAAAAAAAAAAATGATGACGATTAAAGGAAATTAGTGTTTGAAATAGGATTAAAAAAAAAAGAAGAAAAAAAATGATAAAAAAAAAAAAGATAAAAAAAGAAAAACCGTAGAAAGATGGGATGGATACAGAACGAGGGAAAGAGAATGAGGGAATGAACAAAATTGTATGAAAGAGCAACAGAGAGAAAGCGAGTGTGCGTGCGCGGGAGAACAAGAGAGAGAGAGAGAGAGAGAGAGAGAGAAAAAGAAAAAAGAGAGAGAGCGTAAACGAAAGTATGTTTGTGGTTGCTTGCATGCGAAATAGCGTAAAGAGAAAATGTAATGATCGAAAGTTGTGTGCGAGTGTAATAATAAAAAAAAAAAAAAAAGGAACTCTTATGTGTAGTAGATACTTTTTATGGCTGCTGCTATATTATATGTACTATGCATTCTACTACTTCATACTATTTGTAAGTACCACCTCTTACTCAAATATTTATTATATATGTTCCTCGTTTATGTAGCCGATATCATCATCCCTGCGTGCAATGCGATCGAAATGATGAAATAATAACATTTAGTAAAAGCAGAAAAACAAAAGACGACGACGACGACTTAGATAAAACTGGTGTAAAGTATTGAAAGATAATCTTCGCGCTTCGAGGAACGATCTGTAATACAATGAGTCATCCTAGGGATTAAAGAAAATTTGACATCTTCTAAATAAAATCACTATTTGTAATCGTATTAGCAAACTTAAAACACATAATAATTTCGTATGAAAATTGACATCGTATATATATAAAAGAATAATAATAAAAAAAAGAAAACAAACAATTACTTTGTTTCAAGTTGGTGGTCTCTAATTCGTCTCTACCTACAAGTTTTATTTTATTGTTGTTAATATTAAACACGAATATATATATATATATACATGCACATATGTATATACACATATGTGTACAGGAACAATTGTATCGCGAATTTAACGTTAAACGATTAATTATTACATTTGTATTATTGTGAGTAGAAACGATGTAAGAGACACGATAGAAATGTAGTGTTGAAATTTGTGTGCCTGACAGAACATTCTCATATCGAGGTTATATAATTTTATTGTATTCGTTCTTTTTTTTTTGTTTTTTTTTTTTTTTTTTTTTTTTTTGATATTCTTATTTTCCATTGACTGAAAAACTAGTTTAGTATAAAGCGTGTCTGTCATTTGAAGAGTTTTGGAAAATTTAACGAATATTTTCTTTATTAATTTAACAGTAGCAATTATAANTTATATAATTTTATTGTATTCGTTCTTTTTTTTTTTTTTTTTTTTTTTTTTTTTTTTTTTTTTTTTGTATTGTTCACTTTCTCTCAATTAAAAACTAGTTTAGTATAAAGCGTGTCTGTCATTTGAAGAGTTTTGGAAAATTTAACGAATATTTTCTTTATTAATTTAACAGTAGCAATTATAACGGCATTTTATCACGCGTTCGCGTTTTTAAAAAAAAAAAAAACATAATTATAGCGTGTAAAAAGAAAGGAATTTTTTTTTTTTGAGAATGTACTTTTTTTACATAATGTATTTTTCTTTTCTTTTTTTTTTTTCTTCTTTTTTTTTTTTCATTAAAATATATCTTAACCCTTATCGGACGTCAGTCACGTTTCCCCGTGACAATGGTATTTTGGCGTTGCCCTCATCTATCACATAAAAATAACAAACCGAAATATCTATATTGCATATAAACCAAAATCGGCTACAATCTAATGAAAATCGTATGAAAAACCTGATGACCAACAAGGGTTAAATATTAATGTGCAGCCAGGGAGACATTTCGGTCGTACTTATTTATTACGCCATTTTGTCTTCTATTCAAATGAATTACTTGAAATCCGACTTGTTTGTAATATATTGCATTTGATATACATACACACACAGCACATACAATACGTATATATATATATATATATAACTATACAATTGGATTATGCAGTAAAGAACAAATTTGATATCGTTTGCGTTATAATATAAAAAAGAAACATGCAAAAAGGATCGTAGATAATTATTTATAGTGCGTCCTATCACCATAAAAATAATTACACAATTAGCGGTATAAATTAAAAATTAAAAAAAAAAAAACAAAACAAAACAAAAAAAAAAAAGCATAGACCTGTCATTATGAAATATCAACGATCGTGTACAGTAAATAATATAAAATGCGCCATAATCATAACAGTATACACCATACGATTAAATGTTTGTAATTCTAAAATAACTGAGATGATGTTCCATTGTAATATTTAAGTCCTAAATGGATTCCTATGCAATAGATCGATTAATTAAAATATTAAATTAAAATGTATGCAACGAGGGGATGGGGGCGTGGGCGTGTCTCAATAGTTCTTTATAATAAACGATTATTACACATCATCGTAGAAAACAATTCCTATTGGCAACAACGTATATTTCATATTTATTATTGACGATAAATTATTTATATATGTGTTGTTTGATATATTTTTTTTTGTTTTTGTTTTCTTTTTGTTTTTGTTTTGTGCAATCAATCAATCGAACATTTTCTTTTGAAGTAACTGTTTCCTTATAAATTCTATAAATTAAAAACGTATCTATCGTGCTTGACATTAATAAAATTGAGAAGAAAAAAAGAAACGTAGAGTTGGCTATTTGAAAAAATAAAACAAAAAAAAAATGTGTTTATTAAAAAGAAAAACGCAAATTTTTCATTCGATAAGAAGAATGTTAACAAATTTTGATAAATTTTATTAATTATGATCTCATTTCTATTTCGAATGTATGAAAATGAAAGTGTAATTATATTTGAACATTTCAATTGGTTAAATTTTTTTTTTTTTCTAACAATTAGTCAAAGACTTCCTGTATAAAACATAATTTCCTAATAAATATATATATATGACGCGTATAGGGGTAAAAAGTGTAACATTCAAATTATTATTCGATTAATATATCAATTCGAATTAGGCGTCACCTGACGTTTAATATTGGAATTAACTTTAGCGACAGCGCCCCTGGCTATAGGCAACTCTCATACATGCGTGTAGGATAAGTTACGAACTATAACAATGTGATCTCTTACCCCTGATGATAGACTATGTTCTCTACGTATAGATACAGTCAATCTTTGTGCATAGAAGCTTAATTGATCATTAAACTCTATAATATCATATGCCCAGAATAATTAAAAAAAGGAAAACAAGAATACTTTTAGTAAATATAATTCGAATTAATAAGATTTTTCACACGATATATGATCGAATTGAATTTACCTTTCGTTGAAAAAAAAAAAAAAAATGTTTAAATGTTTTTAATCCTCTATTAAATATTAAATTTCAATTGAATTTTTATCTACAACTTGTTACATCGAGAAATTTATTAATATTATTTTTTTTATATAAATCATTTGTTATCCATTGAAGCTATGTACAAAGGATAAAGAAACAAAAGTCCAATCGATCGAAGAGAAAAACAAATTTAAATCAAATTATTTATAAATCTAAAGATTCTCGATTGGTTTGTAAGAAAATGAAATGTCAGAGATAAAAAAAAACAAAATTTTACGAACAAAAACAAAATGCAATTAATATTTTTCAATTTCATTTATTGATAGAAGATACGTAGAACAGAAAGGAAGAAGAAAAAATATCAATTTTAATATTAACGAAAGTTATAGCGCCGCTAGTGGTTTTCGCATGAAACATTCTGCTTATACGAAAGGGGATGGTTGTAAGGATGGTTAGTAGGGTGGAAAAAGAGGGTGTCTCTTTCGTAGGAGAAGGGAGGTTACGTTCAGTGCGCGTTCGACCGTTCTTCTCTCTACGACTTGTGTCATCGGTGAATGCGTGTTAAAAACGCTCGAAAAGGATAGGCGGGAACGAAGCGAGCTTCGAGTTACCTTTTTTTTTTTTTTTCGAAACATGATTTTAAACAATGAATTTAATTGATCAATCATTGTCGCGATATGATTGAAAGAAAGTAATCCGTGGTGATAATTGGAAGCAGTTGTCCAAGAATCATGAAACGAACGATGTCTCTTTTATTTTCACCCCTTTTGCTATTTTTCTTCCTCGTTACAGCAGTTCTCGTAGTCGGTGAGTTTTTATTTATGTGTACATATACATATATATTTATCTATATATATATAGAAGAGAGATATTATTTAATATATACTTCATTATATATTTATATTGGATTTCAAGTTGAGACGGGTTAAAATTTCGTAAGGTTGATCAAAGACGTATTCGATAACTTTGTTAACACTGTCAACGTCTATGTACCTTACTGTGTTCTATCTCTCTCTCTCTCTCTCTCTCTCTATCACATACACTCTCTCTTTGTCATATACCTATGGACAAGTAGCAGTTATTTGCGGAAATTGAATCGTAGACTAAGGTAATAGGAAGAAGCACAGATGTCACGGTCATTTAGGATATCTTAGGGTAAGTCGTCAATCGAGAGCTTACACGAATAATACACCTTAGTAATTTTTTTTTTTTTTTCATTCACGACAAGTTAAAGTCGAACGAACGACTTATATCGAATCGAATATATATTAATATTACTACTTATATCGATCTAAAAACGATTAAATGCATTTCATAAACCGATTCTCCGATTACGACGAATCACAGGGATGCTTTTACCTTTTAATGGATAAAGTCATTTTCTCTTTTCTTTTTCTTTTTTTTATTCATACTTCAATTATTGAGTTATCGATAATCGTATTGTCAGGAACAGTAGTTTACTGTCATATCAACTAATAGAAATTCGATAGTAACGTTTGAAAATTGCATTTAAATTCTGTTAGCTTTATTATTACTCCCCCTGATGCAATAATAGATCCTAAAAGGTTAATTATATTTTATTCTTTCATGCCTTATCGAATATTCGTAGTTGTTAATTTGTCAAGTATGAAACAAAAGAATAAATTTGCATTTCTTTTTTTTTTTTTTTTTTAATTCATTCGTAGTACTTGCCGAACGAATATAACTAACGAGGATGCAGCCAGCGAGAATCGGAAAACCATTGTTATATACCGTAGTAGTAGTAGTAGTAGTTGGGTTAAAGTGGGTCACAAATAATGAGGTCCGCATAATGGACGTCGAGCTTTGTTTCAAGACGAGGAACGACGAAAAAATGAGAAGTAAAATAAAAATAGTAAGTTCTAATGAAAGAAGAAAATATTATTTTTGTATTATAAACAAAATCACATGACACGAGTTTCGTTGTTAAAATTAGCATGTGTTTTCTCTCTCTCTCTTTCTCTCTTTCTCTTTCTCCATATGTATATAATCAAAAGTTCGTATGTTTATTGTATAATGAAATAGTTTCGGTAAAATTTACTTGGAAAATATTAATTAAAAAAAAAAAAAAAAAATAAATGCGAACGAATATTAACCCCTATGAATAAATTTACTTAATGTATGTATATTTTTGTTCTTATTCTATTTTTTTTTTTTTATTTTCGTTTGATTCGAGTATTGAATTTAAAAATATCAATATTAGATAAGGAGAATAAGATGAAAGCAAATAGAAAGAATCCGGAAAAGAGAGATAGAGAGAGATAGAGAGAGACTGACAGGAGTGAATAGGAGAAAGTAGAAAGATGAAATGAAAGAGTTTGTTTCAAGGACCACGTCAACCCACTCGACTCTTTCAGAGGTCATGAGATCGATATTAAGCCACTGCCCATAAATACTGAGGGTTCCTTTACTAAAGCAGGCCAACTACGATGTTTTCTTTTATATTCGAATCTGACCCAATTTCTGTATTTTATTTTTTAGGAGGAGGGTTTTTTAAAGCTAAAAAATTCTACGAAAAGTAACATCGGATTTAAATTTGTCGTATTTTTGATTGAATCGTTTCTACGTATTTTTCTTTCCTATTTTTGATCAGTTCTTTTTGATGTGAAAACTTCTTTAGAATCGAGGTGATTTGAAAATCGTGAAACGGAAGAACGTGAAACCGATGAAACAAAAATAATTAATTAATTAATTAAATTCTATATATAAAAATTCATTGTCACAATATGTTTGTCCACTAATAATTTCAAAACTACACAACTTATTTTAATGAAAATTAATTTTATTTCACGTGATTTTATCCAACTTAGAACATAGCACAATTTTCATCGCGATATTATTGTTTTATTTTATTATTTTTTATTACTAATTTAAAGATATTTATTTAGAGGTTATCTAGGTTCTGTAAGGTTCTTTTAATAGATGGCGCTGTATTACAATTCAATTATTTCGAAGCTTGGTTTTCTTGGAAGGTTTCACTTCTACCGTGTGTGATCTGCACACATTTGTTTGTTGTTGTTGTTGTTGTTGTTGTTGTTGTTGTTGACATTTATCGATAAGAAAATTAGGAAAATATTAAATTATCATAATAAGTCATAAATCAAAAAAAAAAAAAAAAAAACAATTTAACAAACGTCTGTCTATTTGTCCGTAACATTGTCAAGTAACGTGTACAAAAGTAGAAAAAAAAAAAAAACAACCAGAATTGCTAAGAGAAAAATAAGTATATTATTAAGCATGAGAACGAAACCCTACGATGTTGTGTGTTCACTATTCAATGCGTGGGTATAGACGTTTTATTTTTCTTAATAGTCAAGTATAGTTACAAAGAAAAGTAGTATCTACTAATATAATACTGCTACTGCTAATGTAAAAATATCTAGATATTTTTTTCCTTTGATCACGTACATTAAGAGAAAGCGATGAGTTTTCTAAAGATAAAAGAAATACCGATACACTATGAAAGTAACCACCTTCTTGTAGTACGTGTAACATCTGTTGGAAAAGATCCAAGTTTTTGTTGGAAAGAATAATACTGTCGTTTGGTTTTTCTTTTTTTTTTCTTTTTTTTAAAGTTCATTTTTATTCATCAGCAAAATATTTTTCATCTATTTAATCATATTTTATTTATTATATTGAATCGATTAATAAATATAATTATATATATATATATAAAATAATTCCAAATGATTCTATGTTTGGAAAAATTACAAATTCTGATTATAAAATATCATATATATATATATATATAAATAAAAATTGTTTATTATCTTTAATATATGAAAAAGTTGTATATAGGAATGATATCTCAAGCTTTTCGTATACAGAATTTTTACAGTAAGATCCATTCTTTGTTTATTGACAATATCAAAGTTCATAATATTTGATCGTGACAAAACAGAACAAACCATTTGATATTTGTAAACTTGAATGAATTTATACAAATTTTCTTTGAATTAGCAAACGAACATATAACTTTTCAATAAACTTGATAACAATACAGCTCTTATTTATGAATCAAAGCAATTGTTAAAAAAAAAAAAAATATATTAATAATTAAGAATAATGATGAAAGAAAATTAACATTTATTTAAAAATAACACGCGTTTTATTGTAATTAACTTTTAACACACGATGAGAATTATTTATGAATCAACACAATAAAATACATCATGTTGTTTCTAATGGGCTTTAAGAAAAACGTGAACTTGTAGTTTCAAAGCAATTAGGGATCAAAGGATATGAGTCTTGTCAGTTTTGTTTGAAAAAAGAGAGAGAGAGATAGAGAGGAATAAAGAAACGTGATGGTGAGTCTAGGAACGAGGTGAGGAGGACTTCGACATAGGTGGAAAAGCGTTGTTATCGATCGAGTTGATAAGCAAGTCATGTACATATATCGCGAGTGAGTACTTGGACCTGGCTCACTGACATGAGTTAAAATAGATACGTTTAACGTGAAAGACCGAAATTGGAGAATGTCAAGATTCAAGTGTATGTGAAATTTCTACAGAAAACAAATATGTCTGATGATAAATCGACATATTTGAGTAATATTCTTATTCATTAATATTTTGGACATGTATCAAACGACCATATCTTCACATTCACCAATTTTGATCTTTCATTAATTATTATGATATATCTAATATATATTATAATCTATTATCTATTATAAATCTATTATATATTAAAATTGATTAAATGCAATATGTAGAATTGTAAATTTTATCATTAGAAAGATGAGATAATAGATAAAACATCGAAGCTCTCGGTTATATGCTAATATTCACGGTGAACATCGATAAAAGAGATAAAAAAAAAAAAAGATTCCTTTGAAAAGTACGACGATAAAGTGGCAGATATAATTGGAAATAAAGAGAGAGAGAGAGAGAGAGAGAGAGAGAGAGAGTAAGTGGCCAAGATTTTGTTAAGAACGAATAATAAATTAATGAGAAATCAAATTGCTAAGAATAGAGAAAGAGATTGGAAAGAAGGGAACGTATGTACGTGATAGAAACTAATTTTCCTTATCTTATTTTTTTTTTTTTTTTTTTTAATTTGATTAACATCGCTCGAACGCTCTTGAAATCTTTTTATCGAAAAAAAAAAAAGAAAAAAAGAAAAGTCTCGCATAATTTTCATTCTCACGATCGATTCCGTTTCTATCTCCGCTTTTAATCTTCGTAAAACGTCGTAGTAATCTCTCAAAGTAAATGGATTTCTATTATCATCTTCGATTAATTGCTCTTCTTCTTCTTCTTCTTCTTCTTTTTCTTTTTTTTTTTTCTAACTTTTTAATTATACCACGTATTTTTTCTAGACGATATTATTACAGATAAAGAGAAAGAGAGAGAAAGAGAGTGAGACTGAAATACGAGAATAAAAATAATTTCTCCTTTTAAAATTGTTGAGATACCAAATTCCAATCTAATTGACTGACAATAGAGAGAGAGAGAGAGAGAGAGAGAGAGAGAGAGGGAGGGAGGGAGGGAGAGAAAGGTTCTCATATTTCAAATAGTTTGTCTCCTTTTATATTATACTAGGGATGCCCCGTCACCCGTTGCTGTGGCTCACAATCAGTCCTATACACACGTCTTTAAGTCAACGAATTACCTTATACCGCCATCTGTTTAGAATCTTATCGAACTAACGGAGATAATCATGATTCTTTGTTTAATAAACAAATAATTCACAATAAAATTGAGATATAAAGTATCCTATCTTTCAAATTGGATGAAACTTCACACAGTGTGCAAAATTTTATTGAAAACGGTTCAGTAGTTTAGGAATCCATTGCGGACAAACAACGTGACACGTAATTTATATATATTAAGAAGAAGAAGAAGATTGTTCCAAGAAATATCTCACATTTTCTTAATAAGTTTTTTCGTGTATTACATTTTTTTAAATGTTATTTTATTGATAATGAGTTATATAAAATTCATACTGTTAAAAAAAAAAAGTAATACAGTAAAATGGATCTCGTGTATAACTAAAATTAAAATAACATATATATATATATATATATGCATGTATCAAAAAATGTACTATATTACAAGATAAAAAAAAAAACATTTGGAATAATTTAATCTATGTCTCAATATTTTCATTAACATTAAAAGTAAACTTTAAATAATCGTTTCTTTCGTTTTCTTTTTCTTTTCTTTTTCTTTTTCTTTTTCTTTTTCTTTTTCTTTTTTTTTGTATCGATTGAGAAAGCTCGGAAAAAGCGACGATGTTCGTCGAGCGGGATCGCCTACGTTCTATTATTGATCGACATTTTCTACTATACAGAGAATAATCTTTCCTTAAAATTAAATTATATTATATATTGTGCTTGTGATGATACGTATTGAAATAAAAAATAATATTATATATTTGTTTTCCTGTGTTCTTAATAGTCAACGCCAAAACCGAATTACATTCTAACGTGGATAATACCTCGGTGAGTTAATTTATTAATAATATCGTTACAACGTTTCTTAAAACCATAATTAATCATGTCGGTTAATTTTTATTCAGCAAAATATATGATACAATTATTTTTCTTGGATAACATTTAAATCTAAAGAATAGATTTATTCGTCAATTAATATCATTATTAACCAATCATATCGCAATTTGAGAAACGTTGTATTGGTGAAAACAAAAAGATAGATTAGTATTACAATTTTGTTTGGTTTTTTTTTTTTTTTTAATCGAAATGTTTGTTAGATTATAATTACGCATAAAACTGGTGAGATTAATTCGACGAACGATTCGTTGAAACACGTGAACGTTTTTGAGGAAGAGGAAGAAGAGGAGGAGGAGGAGGAGGAGGAGGAAGAGGAGGAGGGGGAAGAGGAAAATGACGAAGATGAGGAAGATGATAACAGAGATGAAGAAGGAAACGTACAGAGAAATGAAAAATATGTTTCGAAAGAGAACGAGCAGGTGGAGGAGGAGGAGGAGGAAGATGGTAAAGAAGAATACGAGGGTGAGGAAAGAAACGAATACGAGGATGAATTAAAGGCTTTGGCAGAGTCCCACGAGGCAATGTCGAAAGATGAAACGAAAGATGAAACTAGAGATGATATTGTTCAATCTAAAACGAATAATTCGTCTGCTGGGAAAAATTTTGAATCACATGAAAATGTTCTTGAAAATAAATCTGACGAAGATGTTGCTTTCAACGAAGCTATCACTGATGAATTACCAAAGAAACACGAAGATAAAGAGGTTGGTTAATTTGTTTGAACAATAACAATAATAATATACTAACATTATCGTATGGATAATACAATTTTATTTCGAATTTTATTTAATTTTTCATATTTTATTTTATTGAAGTGAAAAGTTCTTTAGAATGGGTGTGATTTGAAAAAATGAAACGCGGTGATGTAGTGGGAAAACGAAATCGGAATGTAGGGGGGAAAGGAAACGGACGATGTAGTGGGAGAAAGAATTCAATTTTTATTATTATTTATAAAAATATTTGATTGGCAAACATTTTTTAAAGTGTTTTATTATTTACTTTCTTTATAATTATTATTGAAAATGCGCGCCTGTATGAATGCAACCCTCCAGACACACTTTGAAAATGTTGTTTACGAGCGTCATCTGTCGGGTAGAAATTGTTTTTTCTGCCCGAAAGATAGGCAACCCATAATACATGCGTGTATGAACAGTTTTAACTGCAAAAAAATTCCGTCCCATTAGATGGCGCTCGCAAGCAACATTTCCAAAGTGTGTCTGGAGAGTTGCATACGAACAGGCGCGCATTTTTATAATAAAATTAATAATTAAATAAATAACAACAAATTAAAACTACAAATAATATTATAGAATAAATTATCCTCGAAATTTGTTCATTTGAAGATTTCACTTCTAATTTGTGTGATATGCACACATGTTTTATTTTTTTATTTTTATTATTATTATCTATTTAATTATCTAGTTTATTCTTTATTAATTTTATCATTTTTATCTTTCTTGTTAAATAATAATATATCGTAGCCCTTCTACTTAAAGTTGATGATAAATTGTATATCATTGCTGCTACGTAATACTTCTTTCGTTATTTTTTCTTTTTTAGGTAGCAGATTTAATAAAATATAAAAAAGAGAAGAGCTTGAGGCAACTAGAGGAAGAAAAAGATATTAAAGAAAAAAGGAAAAAGCGTGTACCCACCGTGAAAAAAGAATTGAGTACACAAAAAGAAATCATTCTACCTGGTAACGAGACTCAAGTTCCAAAAAGTCTTGTACCATCCGAAGAAACTTTTAATGATTTGAACGAGGAAACTGATCCTGTAAAAAGAGAAGATCCTGGAAGAAATGAGGTGGGAAATAAAGTTTCATTTTTTCGAGTATTATAATTTGACGCACTCAAATGCAATTGTCCTACGATTCATTAAAACTGTAATTCGTGATTTTTTTTTTTAAATTACTTCAATATCATTAAATACTTCATTATTATTTTAATAGTCATTTTACTTATCACACAAATTTTGCAATTACAATTTTTTTCAATTAGTTAATAATAAAGCTTAATTTATAAAAATATATAAAAACTAAATTTAATAATTCATATATTGAAAAAAATAAATACATTGTACAGATTGAAATTTATTTTTCAGTTTTTTATAAAAATAAAAATTAGTAAGATTCATGATTTAAGGATTTACGAATTTTGAAAAATTTGAAAACTGCTATGTTAGCTTATTTATTTATGAAACTTTGTTTAAAATATTTTATTAAAAAACTTGTCTTTTGTTTTTTTTTTTTTATATTGAAAAATTGATATCGGCTGATGCTATTATTAATGAAAAAATTCTTGTTTATTCGTTAAAAGCGAGCAAAGGATAAAAGAACGTCACCCATCAAGGACCTCGATAAAAATGACATACGTGTCAATATGTCCGACGATATTGAAGAATTGTTTAATAAATGGTTTGAAAATTTAATGAAAAAAATCAAAAAATATAAATTATTACGAACCGTTACAAAAGATAAAGAAAAATTGCACGAAACAAAGGTAAGATTCGTTAAGTGACATTTTCTACTCGTTCTTCGAATAAAATTCCATCAATTGAGATTTTTTTTATTAATCAAATATTATTTATCAATAGGATCAGGAAGAGAAAATAGGTAAATTTTTGTTAAAACTTGATGCAGATTTACCCGAACTTTTGGAACAATATGAAAAAAAACAAAATCTCATATGTAAGTCAAATGAATATAATATAAATAATAATCAATTGAATTTATTTTTACGTTAACCTTCAATAAAATCAAAATGTCTATAGCAAATAAATTACAACAATTCGTTTCAATTATTTTCTATAACAATTTATATATAAAACTTTTTTACTTGACACTTTAAACAAATGGGGAATTAATAATGATAATTATCACTCATAAACAATTATATATTGGGATCTCTGGCAGGGGCGTGGCTTACCCTAGCGGCAAAAATATGAACTAGAGACTGGATGATGCTGTGCATTACTTGTACAATCAAAATAAAGAACAACGTGTATAACATTATTATTTATATTTTATTTATTTATTATTTATTATTTATATTATTATTATCAAAATATGTTGGTGCAATCAAAATTTTGTTGGTGGTGAAAGTGTATTAAAATGTTGGACATGTGATTAAGTGTGGGCAAGTACCAAGTGATGATTGTAATATTATAAATATTTTAGCTTTTTGTTTACAATTCCTCCTTACTGCTCTAGTTCTGAATTTAGCCACCAGATAGCGTATTCAAGTGCTAGAGATCCCAATAGACGACTTTTATTTGATAGATTTAAAAAAAAAAGAAAAAATGATGTTAACCAATTTTAGTGAACGACGTTCCATATATGCATTACCTAAGGAATATTTATAATATCGAAAAAAGAAATGACGATGGATTATTAACTACATTTGCTACGATTGACGAGGTATCACAGGATGATTCGCAAAAGGAACGTAAGAAAACTAAGAAAAAGAAAAAGAAGAAGAAGAAGAAGAAGAAGATGAAGAAGAAGAAAAAGTTACAAGATCATGAATCTACTACAACAACCATAACTACAACAACTACGGATATAGTAACACCACCACCATCGTCAATGATAACATCTCATCCAACAATGACATCAATTAAATGGCAATTATTATCGGACAAATTATCTGGACCAACCTGGCAAGATAAAATTCGGCCTGAATCAAACGACGACATAGCAAAGATTCGTTATTCAGCCAATTCAAAACCAAGAACGATTAATGAACGACGATTTATCGATGAACCGAGTAATTTAAAGGAATTCAATATGGATAGACGAAAATCTTTGTTATCTTTGCAAAAGGGACATAAATTATCGGTCCAACCGAATTATTATCCGTTAGATAAAAACAATCTTAATCGTAATGGATTCGACCCGCAAGTGGATCATTTAAGAGATTACGAAAAACCCGAACGAGTTCTTCAATCTTTTAGATTCGGTCCGATGATATTACCATCCCGTGATTTTATTCAGGATAAAGGTCAGGAGGATTATCAGGACGATGATAATGGACGATTGGAGGAAGAGTTTGCCCACGTTAGAGATAACAAATCGCCTAATCAAAAATTTCCAATTAGTAGAAGTTGGCCAGATGTATCTTCGAAGTATAATAATCTTCCTTGGAAAGTGAACGGATGGGATGGACGAGATGAACATACTATGCCATCTCGTTTACCTAACGAATGGCCTTGGAGACAATCCCAATACGATAATAATTATTGGTCAACTCGTGGTAGGACTTGGCCAACGATTAGAAATAACATTTGGAGTCCGTTGGACAATGACAATGACGAGGAAGATCCCGAATCGGATTTTGGTTCGGATAATCGAATCGATCGTAATTGGCGTGACTGGAGAGAATCGCAGGGACGAAGACAAAGACAACAGGAGAGGGAACGTGACGAATATGACGATGGACGTTTCTCGTATCCCTTGGAATTAGATGGGCCTAATGTTTGGTCAGGTTCGCAAGTTAATTCTCCTTTTCAAGTTAAACCCCCTTGGTCACAAACGGAAAGTAGTCAACTATTAAAAACTGGCGATAATGTCGAACGAAAGACTATAACAACACCATGGGATGATACTAAAATCAGACCTTATCCCGAAACACCTAAATCAACTACTAAAATGGCCAGACAATATGGTAAAAGTCAAGTTTCTTTACCGAAGATCAGTATGACTACTTGGAACAGTTTGACATCAGATCCGGCAACTTGGCCTTACAAATCTTCGGATACAAAACCATGGCCGAAAGACGAGAACGGTAAATCGTACAATCCTAACGCGGATTTGGTTAAAAAGTTAGGTTTAGATAAGAATGACGAAAAGACTTATGAAGAAATGCCTAACGATCAATGGAACGTCTTGCAAACCGATCGAGAAAGAAATTCGTCGAAGCAAGAAAATGAATCGATGAAAAATTACAAATTAACAAAGGATATATTAGATTATGGTAATTACAATGTTAAATCAAAGAATACGATGGATTGGACAAAATCTAATACCGACGACAATCGTCGATTCGAATCTTTAATTGATGATGTTTACAGTTGGTATCGCGGGAACAAAGAAAAACCAGTATGGTCTAGAAAATATGCTTTCAATTCTAATTTACCAAAAATACAATCGATCGATTCTTGGGTCATGCCTGTTGATAAATCAACATCGATGTCCAATCGATTCGAGCAACATGAAAATGCACCCACAATCAACGAGAATCCTATCAAAACTACGATGCAACGTTGGTTTGATAAAAATGATAATAACAATATGGTTTCAAATTATGGAAAACATATCAACGAAGTTGAGTCTTGGTCTCAAAGACCTAAAAACATAAATCCTTGGAACAATGAACGCGATAATTTATTAATGCAAGATGAATTTAATCCTTCTGATCGTTGGTCTCCGACCTTGAATAAAGTTAATTATTGGCCGTCCAAATTGGCAAACGATTATTCGAACAAAGAGAATTATGTTTTACGAGATCGTAAAAGTAATTTTGACAAGGGTCAACCTGAAAACGTCGATTTAGGAATAAACAATCATAAAATAATTTCTAACGAATCTATTTCGAAAGTTAATGAAACGAACATCAAAGCTGATCATTCGAAGAAGACCTTACCGATATATAAATTGAACAATTGGAATAACACTTATGAAAGATCCAATTCGTGGCCTTCGAAATGGAAACAATTTAGTTATCATAGGGTAACCACTCTACCGATTATGAAATCAGGCATGGCATCTAACTTTTCGACAAATTTATCGAAAAATGCTTTTGTTGCTGTCTCGGCTGTTGCATCGGGAAAACATATGATATCGAAGAACGATGATAACCTTAACGAAACTCATAACAATCGGAACGATATTTTGGAAAAACAATTGGAAGATCTAAGGCAACAGAATTTGTTGAATTTCAAATCAAATGCTATCGAGGTGAGAATTATATTTTATAAAAATATATATATATATATTAACGTTATATTTATTTATTTGTTTCGTTCTTTTTATATTTTGACAAGGAACCTATTCGATCACCAAATCCTGTGGAAAAATCAATTATCGGATCGACGATCGAACCAACGATCAAAATTATCAACAATTCAACGTCCATGATAGTACACCGTCCGGATGAAGGAATAGAAGAGGAAGAGCTTCCGAAATATGCGAATAAATAATACAAAATGCATTATAAATAATCTAACAATATAGAAACCCCGAAGAAAAAAACAAATTATCTTTCAGTTCGTCAAAATTGTAATCCGTATAGACGAAGAAGCTCTTAATTAGATTCTCAAATAGATTTCAATGAGATTACTACTTAAAATGAAGAAAAAAAGAAAAAAGAAAAAAACAAAATCTCGAACATTAAAAAAAAGGTTCAACATTTCTTCACGTACTTTTGTGTTTAAATTTGTAATGGTTATTTATCGTATCGTCTTATAGCATATTTTATAATGATAATTATGACAATGGTTTTAAGAAAAAAAAAAAAAAAAAAAAACATTGATTTTATGATGTATTTATTCATTACAATTGTTTTATAATATTATCAAATAAATTGTAAAATCAATTTTCTTTATCTTTCAACTTGGTGTCATAAATTACCAAGATACACACACAATTATCTAATTTTTGTAATAATTTAATTATATAAATTATTTCTATGAATTTTTTTTAGGAGGTTAAAAATAAATATTAATTATCTATTTTTTTTTTATTACGATCGATAAATACCACCAATTAGTTCGTGACAAATGATAATATGGGCAAACAAATTACAGGGTTTTTGGCATAATACTCGTTGAAAAGAAAAAAAAAAAACAAACATTTATGCGATCGGAATAAATTCCATTGATTTTTTTTTTCTTCTTTTTTTTTTTTATCATTCGATTCAATACGAAATTTTGAATTAATTTCTCATATTTCTTTCTTTTTATATTTGACTCGATTAATCATCACAGTTCGAGAGTTGAATGGCAAAAAAAGTGCAACACTTTTCTAAAAGCTGATCGTTAGCGATTAACAAGGGGGGGCGGCTTCAAAGTTGTGAAAAAATTATGTACCTATGTCGCAACAGTTTTCTAAAATCTCAAAATTGATTTCTGAATAGTGAATTACCTAAAAAATGATCTAGATACCGTCAGTCTTTAAAATATCGTAACAGGACGCGTCAGCAGTGCGTCAAAGTCATTAAAAAAAGTATGGTTGATAATACTGTTTTCTAAAATGTTAAATTTGGTCTACAAATTGTTACTAATAGGAAAAATCAAAAAAATATAGTAAGCCCGAATTTTTATTGAACATACGCCGTCAGCAGTCGATAGAACAGCGCAGAACATACTTTTTGTATGACTTTGACGCGCTGCTGACACATCCCGTTACGATATTTTCAAGACTTACGGTATCTACATCATTTTTTAGTTAATTCAGTATTCAAAAATGAATTTTGAGATTTTAGAAAACTGTTGCGACATAGGTACATAGTTTTTTTCACAAATTTGAAGCCGCCCCCCCTTGTTAATGGCTAACGAAACTGGCTGACTGACGACAGGCTATTGCTATACACCATAAATATTATATAATATCGAAATGACAGGTTTTAGAAAACTGTTGCATTTTTTTGCCAATCAGATCTCTTTGACTATCATTGTAAAATTTCGTAAATTCAACGATTAACGGTACTATTATATTCGTCATTTTCATTTATCAATTTTTACCAACAAATGAAATCAAAGATATCGATTTTAACGATAATGACATTACAATAATTATTACAATTAATATCTTTAAACGTGAAATGAATGATTACAATAATTTATTCAAATGATTTTCAAGCGTAAGAAAAAGAAAATGATTTATCGAGAAAAGCGATGTGTATATACGTATACATACATAAATACATACATACAAACATAAATACATATAATATAAAGAGAAGAAAGATACGAAATAAAAAAATGATAACAAAATTAAAAAAAAAAAAAAAAAGGAAAGAAAAATGAAAAGTGTTGAGATTGATTGTTTGATCAAAATAATAGTTGTACGCACAACGTATAGGTACCTACCTACCTACCTACTTACGTATACATATACATATACTATATAAATATAATATATGTTATGTATATATTTTATTGTTAGAAAAAATTGACGAACTCTTCTAGTTGTGCAAAATTTATGTTAATCCTTTATTAATTATTTTAACGATTTTAAAATAACATATCAATTTTTAATTATATTTCAAATTGTTTCTTTATATATATATATATTTAATTTTTATTATTATATCAATATTATAATAATGCGTTTATTATTTAATAATTAATTATCACAGTAAATTTACTATATTTGCAAATTGTTTATTAATTATTTATTTGTATTTATATATATATATATATATATATATATATATANATTCATTCGGATATGGGGAGAAGAAAAAGATAAGATAAACTTAAAGATTAACGTATTATTTATTTGTATTTATATATATATATATATATATATATATATATATATATACAGTACAATTTTACTAATCCGGCATTATTCAAAACCAGAGGGTGCCGGATTATTGGAATGTTCGGATTACTGGATTATAGAGAAAAAAAGTCAATAAGTTTTGAGGTTAGATTGCTAGACAACGACACGGCGACGGAGTCCATAGGCGTAGAGTGGTGAGGGTGGCTCGGGCAGGGGGGTGCCGGATTACTGGACGTATCGATCTATTGAAGTGCCGGATTAGTGAAATTATACTGTATATATATAAAACAGATTTGTTTAAAGGTATATATAAGTTAAAAATAAATATTCTCACAGACTTTCAAAACTTAAGCTTGACCAATTAAAAACGTCTACGATCTTAAACATTTGTCTTAAATAAAAGATCGTAATTTGATCAATCTTCTTAACCCCTTAAGCAGCACGCTTGAGTTAACTCGAACGGCGTATTATTTTATATCTCTATGATTTTTGTACACTTAAATATAATAGAAAATGGAAAATAAGTATGTGAAAGCAAAGAAAAAGAATCGTTTTGTTTTCTTTTTTTTTCGAAATAGTCATTCGAAAAGAAAGATTATAAAAGTTGACGTACGTATAACATTGCAATATTCGGCTCTTCTCTGTAAATGTGGAACAAAATCCAAAATTAATATAAAAATATTCATTATTTCTGTATTTTTTCATTTTTTTTTTTTTGGTCAAAACAATGTTCTAAACTATGTCTTTATGCAAAAAAAGAAAATGATTTTTTTTTTGTCGTTTTTTTTTTCAAAATCATTGAAGCTTAAGGGGTTAATCCTCGAATGATCTATATCTCCCTCTCTCTCTCTCTCTCTCTCGGAATCTCTCCCTCTTTCTCCCATTTCACGTTACCTTAATATGTAATATTTTTGTTTGTAGGAACTTCTATACCAAATCTGTACTTAAAATTAATTCAAGGAAACGAACATGAGAATAAATGTCATTCGTTGTATATCTTCATTGTACTTTGTTTTTTAAAACTTGGTATTTATCCATTACCTAATATATCCTACTGCCATAATATAAAACGAATAAAAGAAGTTTTAACAATAGTGTGAAGAATGAATAACAAAAACAAGTAACAATAAAAAAAGAATAATTATAAGTTAAAAAACAAAAGCAAAAACAAAATGTGATAAAAGTGGAACGATATGACAGAGGTTTTATTTTAACCCCTTGCACTCCAATGTCTCAACGTATGAAACTTTAAAGTGATTACGGTGAATTGAGTTATTTCAGTACACTTTCTTAAGATATGCATGTTTCCCTGATGTTTTCTCTTAAAATAGCACAAGACAACGAATCAAAATCTAGTAAAATAACAAAGATATATAAAAACAAATGTCAACAGGTTTTGTGTTCTAAGAGAATGCGAGACGTGGTGCTCACGACAGTTCGAGAACTTCTTGACGAAACTTGAGATGAGCGATAAGAAGAATTTGTAGAAGAAAGGTTTTATATAGGAGCATATATCTCGCATTTTATAGTGAGATTTATAATGTACAAAGAAATATTATCAAATAGTATCACACATTTCAAATACAATGGAACGCGCTCGCTTTTTTTTTTTTCAATTGCAACGCTATTACACATATACATTTTCTTGGTAAATAAGTTTTTTTGATAAAAATTTTTTAGGTCAATATATTCTTTGATGTCTACAGATTAATATAAGTCCAATATCATTAGAATCCGTTACTTGGTTCCAAAGTTATACTAAATAATACGACACGGTCTGTAAATGTGCCATTTCTGTCGCAAAGTCGTGCGGAGTGCAAAGGATTAAAATACATAAACGCGTTTAGATAAAAATAAATATAATATAAAAGTGAAAGTTTTCTTTTGTTATCTCAAACGATAACAATCTTGATAAATATCAAACGAATAAAAATTAAATGTCGAGTTTATCGTTAATCGTAACTGAATATGTAATAACCTATGATCTAATTTGTTATTTTCATGACACTTAAATTAATACAATAATTGTTTAGATTCGTTTACGATTTATTTATTGAAAGATTTTTCATTAATTCATGAGAATGTAATTTAAATATACAAACAAACTCTTATGTAACGTGATTAATATAATACATTACGTGATTTATTAAATCGCGTTATACAAGAAATCGTATTATACAAGAATTTATTTTGTATGATACGAATAATATAAATAACATTTTAAAAATAACTTTTCAATTTTATTGTCCTATTTTAAAATAATAAAATAATTACGTAAAAAAAGCACATATAACTTTTTTTTTTTTTTTTATTAATTCTATTTGAATTTATTTCAATAACAATTATTAATTAAATAAATATAAGTAATGTGTTTAGATTTTACTAAAATAGTAAGAACTCTCGTAAGGTAAAAAGTGTAGTATAATTATAAAAAAAAATGATATTATTAAGAAAATAAAATGAATAATTTTCTAATAACGTATATAATAAATTATGTTAAAAACAAAAGTAAAAGTTAGGTTAAAAGATAATCATTAAAAAAAAAAAACCTCGACACATCGAATATTCGTTATCTCATTTAATGATAAGCCACAATTTACATTCATTGATCTTGATGAGATATCCTATAAATATAAAAACTTTAATCGACATTAATTTATTCTCTCTCACGTACTGGTATCAATTGTCGTACGATTGTCATTACAAAATGATTGGTGTCAAACTTTTCATGATCGTTATTTTAATGGTTATATCCGTCGAAGAAATTTATGGTCATGGTATGTTAATGGAACCCGTTAATAGAAGCAGTGCTTGGAGAAAAGGATTTAAAGTTCCAAAGAATTATGACGATGATGGAAATTTCTGTGGTGGTTTGGA